TTATTATTATCTAACGCAAATCCTTTGGACTAAGATCATAACACACTGTTCGTAATCTGTGAACTATACATAAAGATCCATTGGTGATGTGGAATTCATGGTGATTTTAAATGCCTTTAGACGGAATTGATCATCTTCCAAAGCGCAGATCATGTGGAATGAAGATTCATCCTCTCATCGTTATTTTTTGAAACTGACCATACGGTCCCTTTCGGAAAGATAAGATGTTCTGTTCTGGTTTTTATGAATAATGTAGTTGCCCACTTGAAGTGAATCACAAATCAACAACGATTAACATCGATGCCAGTCGATACATCAATATCAGCTCACATTAAGGTAGGAAATAATCAAGTGACAACATTCCGCATGATAATAATCGAGTGACAACAATGAACACCTCGCAGCATTGTTCCCCCCATTTCAGCACAATCTTATCCATCAATAATTACGCATTTGTCATTGCAGTGGTTGAATAAGACTGCTGATGTGTTGAACAATGGTGGATTTGAATTGATTTGTAACGCATCAAATGACCTGAATTCGAGAAGAGCATTTCAAGGGTGTGTTAGTGAAGATTCAACAATGCATTCTTCTTATTCTTTTAACAACATCACAAACCTAGTTTTCAGTCAAATAACCCTACAGCAACTCATTGGTTTCTCACACATCCACTGATTGACAAACATTCAGCACGTCATTTATTGCGCCAATACCATTTTGCCGACGTTCGGTTTTCAGGGATAGGTATTTTGTGTGTGTGAATTCAGATTATGCAATGTGTCAAGTCATACACTTTTATCCAGAGGATATCGTGAACTTTCCTCAGTGGATGGCCTTATGCTTTGATGGTTGCGAAGAATGATTTGTGTTTTGTTTGATTGAAGATATTCATACGAAATCTGTCAAGATATCCATTGAATTATTTCCTGTGATTGATGCATAACTTTGCTGAAAATTCTAGTGCTGTCTTCAGTTTATATGTTTATATGTTCAGTTTATATGTCAGTTTATATGGTCCACTTCATTTTCGATCATTTCTGCAGCTTATCGATATAATATATTCGTTAATACTACCGCTTGAGTCCATTTCGCGTTGCCGAGGATCATCAGCAAAATTTTGTATATTATAGAATTTGATATTTTGAAGGATATTTCAGAAAAATGCTCTATGAAAAGATCGCCGGCCTTACATTGATGATCGTCACTATTCTTGCTGATGATAAGGTATAGCAGTTTGTTTGTACTCGACCTTACTGAATTTTCACGGTCACTCGACGATGATAATAGCATAACAGAGGCGTTATGTTTGAGACTTCTCAGAAGTGTAAAATAATTGAAGTGCAATACATTTCAGTCTCCATGCGGTACTATTGAGTCAGACTATGCTCCGTGTATTCCTAAAGATCAAGCCAACGAGTTATTCAGACAATGTTGTCTACAATACGTTCCGGACGGCTGTCATGATTTGTGTCAATATGAGACTGATGAACTGACGGCCAGAAATTTGGTGAGTTTTTTATGAAAAACGATCGAGATCAATATCACTGCAAGATGATCAGTTCATTCTTCGAAAATCACATCAATTCCATTCGATTATGCGGGTTTTTCCATGAATAAGGTGTTCTCGTAACGGCTGGATGCTCATTTAGAGGTGTGAATGTTTAGGAGGACCGATGAAATAAATATTTTGGATTCAAATATCTGGTGAATAGCTAGTGTGATTTGGCTCGAGAGAGAACCCGAACTCATTCATTGATGAATAACTCGGAGAAGTTTCACTGAGAAGTCTATAATCATGAAAATTCTTTCAGTTGGTGCAGTCAATAAGATCAGGAAAATGTGATTTGAAGCATATGAGCGCTGTTCTATTCTGTGCTTCTCAAAATCAGGTTGAAATTTGAACGCTTCTTCGATTTTATCTATTCAGAATGATACTCACAGCTGAAGAAAGCAACAGTTCCGATAGTTATAACTGAACGCTTGTTTGGAAGTGATGAAATGAATTTTTATTTATTAGTTGTGGAGAAATATTCACACAGAACAAAAAAATTCAATTTGAGTGGATTGTGAGCATTCAAATGATGCGTAGGCACATAAAGACACGGAACATTATTTTCGTTAATTCATCGATATTTCAGGATAACCGCAAATGTTGTGAATACTTGAATATGGCCGACGAGAAGCTTGGCGTTGGGAATCGTTGCTTGCGTTTCTGTGATCCGGCTGGTGAGGGCATCACTTCGATCAGTCGAAACGACGTGACTTGTTTGTTCAACTGGAATGTGATGATGTATTGCCATCACAGTGGTATTCCGGAACAATAGTTTAAATGCGCTCTGTCGTCAAACTATTTTCTCGAATTGTTCGTTTGCTCTGTTATCTTTGCATGATCTGTGCTATACCATCTGACTCGAACCTCCTCGAGAAATCACTCGTGACTCTCATAACAAATTCCCTGAATTCAGGCTTACCGTCCATCCATATCCAGCAACTAGATTTTCGTCTATCTTTTTAAAATTTTACTTACTGATTAGATGGTGACTTAGGTCTCAGTTGGTGACTGAACATGATATTTCTTAGATCGATCAAAAGCACTTATATCAGATGACTTCTCCTTGTAATTCCATTCATCATCATGATAGGAAGTTAGCGGCAGATGGTTTCATTCTTGAAATTTGTAGTAATAAGAATTATCTATCGTTTTTTTCTTTGCCGGAAACTATCTCAGTGACAATATGGTGGGAGTAATGATAACAGCATTCATTATGTTAATAGTTATTGTTGAATGTATTTGAAATTCATGAGATATCAAAATTTGTGCAACATTTAGAGCACTTGTATAATAAATATCAATTTAATTCGAAGATTCATGACGAGATTAATAATTTTTCAACAGTTGTGTCATCTTGGATCATTTGTTCGAGAAGAATGTATTGTTTCTTTATCGATGTTCTGCGATATAATTAATACAATAAAACCTCTCTTAGACTATGAATACGTACACTCTTCAATGAAGATGATTAGCTAAAAACACATCCCATTCATAACTGCATCCGAGCAAACCTCGTAATTCATCCATACGTGAATTTTTACGTACGTGACTGCTTTCATCACTGATCTCATTAGAGATTGGTTCCATTTTCGCTGATCGTGAGATTTAGGATCATGTTTGAACGTTTGCTGAATGAACAGAGTTCAGTTCTAGTCTACTGGCAAGTATAAGCAAACCTAAAGCATAGCCTGAACCCAAGCCTGAATCTTTTTATGAGTACACTCGTTGAGGATTGTAAACGGACAATCGCATTGTTAATCACTTATTGCAAACTTTCCTTGCGATAACTGATTAACAATGCGATTTGTAGAAACGGGTTCAGTGAACAACAGCATTTCTCTTCGATAGGAGGCCAGGGTGCAGACAGACTAGTGTATTCGGTGGCATAAGGCGAACGTAGCACGCAAATTAAGACTGTTTTTCGGGAATTGTTGATGAATGGATATCTTATCAGATGTTGCACGGTTATAAGCGAATTTAGTGGTTGTCCAAGTGAATTGATCTGCCGTCGAGAGTCTCAGAAATGGATCATCAAGAGCAACCATCAACATCAAGCACTAGCGGTGCAGTGAAGAGGAAGCATTCGAGTTCGACAAATGACGAACGTCTTTTATCATTATTCAAACTGTATCGNGTAAGTTTCGATCAGCAACTTTTGTTCAGCATTGAGTAGCATTCAGTTGAGATGGCACATAGAATGTAACCAACTGCAAACTGCCTGAGAGCTTCGAACATTTCAGGACATTCTGCACCAGATAGATGCACTTCAGAATCGTGAGTTTACCATGTCGAACGATTACAGTGAAGACGAGGAAGCGCGTTACGATCGCAGATTACGAAGACTCACCGACAGAGCTTTGCAAATCCACAGATATTTCGTACGCAAGCAACTGATCGTTAACGATGAAGGAATTCAACTGTACGTTCATTTCTGTTCACTTGAGATTTTAACTAATTTATCACCAAACCGTAATGGTTTTGATGGTATTTGGTTAAATCTTATATAATGTCATGTTCTGCTGAAATCTGAAGCATGACTCTGTTGGTTTCAGGAGACCAGAGTCACCAAAACTTTTGGTAGTTCAAGGGACGGGCAGTCAATTTTTGGATGAACTTATCACTGATCATATCAATAAATGTCCGGATGGCACGAAAGGTTTTCGCAAACATATGGGCGATCGGTGGTTTGTAGTTTTTGTCTTGAACAATGAGTCAAACGATTGATAATTTCTGATATCTTAAAAATTCTCGTGACAGACGAATTTTTCATTCGACAATTTCATTTCGTTTCCAGTTACATGGATGTGGATGATCTCGGAAAGATGATCGACCAGCTGGAAAACGAAGGAAAATATACCGGTTGTCCAAAGGATGAAGAGGGTAGAGGTAGGTTAATGGAAAGTTGATTAAGAATTTGTTGTGATTTCGACATATGTCCGTCTAACTATCGAAAATAAGTGACCGACAATTGCCATTAGCAAAAGGCCGTTAATTACACCGTTGATTCGAGTTATTCATTGCACATAATCATAATACACCTCCGAACGATGCAACTATTTTTGCTGTTGCAGAGAAATTCATTTTGAATACGATAACAAACGTGTCGCATCAAATCAAAGCATTCTGGCAAGACGTTATTCGCGAGAATATCGATGAAGATGAACAGTTTTGTTAGTTTACTCAACTTAATTTCACCCGTTTCATCTGAATTGCTGTTAAACTTGAACGAATAACAATTTATTGGTTGTAACTAAAGTGTATTTTCTCTGTAAATGAGAAACTGAAGAGACGTGAATGTGACTGAAGGAGTTGATTTGTTCAATTCAGTTTTATCGTTGAGGTGAATGCATTGTTTCAGTTGAATTCAATTCAGGTAAAACCAGTGCGGAGGCGAATGAAGCTGCTGGGGTGGTTGGAAACTCTGAAGGAGAAGTGGAAGCAGGGCCGTCTCCTCCGCAAAAGTTTTCATGGCAACAAACCTCTGTGGTAAGCTCAGTTGATGTTTGTTGTGTTTTTGTACTTTTCATCGTGTACATTCTCGTGAATAGCGACCGGGCATTCATTGTTTGTGTTGCCATTGGAGTAATTTTAAATGCTCATGATGAGATATGTTCCAATTGTATGCACAGCTGCTGCTGTGTGCAGCTGTCATTTTATAAAGTTGTTTCGTTTGTTTCCTCGATACATTTTAAGCATGCTTGCGAATGAATTCCCTGGACAAAGAAAGATCCAATTATGACGGTTATAAAATGATATCAATGTTTAGAGTGAGTGATTCATATGAAGTGATTATAGTCATAAAGTGATTCGGATCATTTGTAAGCGATGAGTTATCTTTATCGATGAGTTCTTTCACAGCAACTACAAGAAGCCGTCACAAGTGGTTCGTTATTGGTGAATGAAAGTGCCACTGATGACGGCAAAAACATCGAGACAATATCAATCCATTCATCGAACGGCAACGACAGTGATGAGGAAAGTGTAGTGTCGGTGGAGGACAACGATGAGGAGGAGAATAACGACAGTTTTGCTTGTACGAAAATTGAAGAAGAAGAAGAAGCGTTGGATGCGAGTGATAGGACTGAGACGTTGTCGGATGGAGACGAGATTGTGGAGTCGGTGAAGGAAGTGGTTGATTTGGTGTGCAGTGATGATGACGGGTCACTGCTGCATAATGGAACTAGCGGTGGGCATGTGAACGGCTCTGCAAATCAGGTTTTGGTTTAGTTCTTTGCGATTAGATGTTTTTTATGAGCAGATCTTAATTATGCATTCACGAGTTGATTGGCTTGATTCGACATCGAAGCTGAGCTTCAGCAGTTCGAAATTATTGCGAAGGTTTCGACGCCACTGACAATAAGTAATACTTGTTTGTTTTAATGCTGAATGGATGCGATGCGATTGAGATTTTTTCGAGCGTTTGATAGTGTCATTTATAAATACTGATGAGTTTGTTCAGGATGGAAACGATATTCCGGATGATCCGGACGATAGTGGTGATTCGTGTGTTATTTTGGATGATTGATTACTGGGTTCGGTTCATATTATTGCAGAAATAGATTTCATTTGCATGCGCATCTCGAATCATTAAGGAACATTGTTCAACACATACAAAAATTCACATGGGCATTAAAAGGAATATTGTTTATGTTAATGGATAATTGATGTGCATCGATGAATCTCGTTTAATCGAGCTTCATTCTCATCAGAATTACGTGTCACTCTCCTATTCATACAACTTGTGTTTTTTGTTGACATTCATCACCTGGCTTATTTGAACTGCTCTTATTGCTCATTGTCCAGGTATTTATCAAAAATCTCTTGTCAGTCACATGTGGAATAGTTCGGCGTTTTGTTTTGCTCTATTGCTGTTGCAATTGCTACTGGAATATGTCATATTGAAGGGATTTTTCGTGTTTGTCTCTCAAAATAAGTTATTTTCAATTGGATATGTTGTCGTGTTTGTGTTTTTGTATTCATTGAACGAATTTATGAAACTAATAATTTTGTCAATAAACGTTTTTTAAATCATTTCTTGAAAGCATCACCGACTATCAAGACTTCATCAGTTGAAACTTCTTCACAAATGCATTCGATTCGAAAGAAAGAACGGTTTTGGTATCATCAGTCACTTTGAAAGTCCATTTCGAGTGTACGAAACAGACTGATTAACTTAAAATATATGGTAAACATAGTTCTGTACCTTCGAATTTATAAACGATATCATCATTCAAATTCATAACCGGTCTCATCACTTCTCTGGAAAAATATGCGCAATTCGAGTTTAACAATATCACAAACGCTATCCGGTGAAAACTGTGATTCCGCAGGATACAATTTTGCACGATATTCACACTTTGGTCTCAGTGAGCACAATGCTATATTAACTATGGCATATGTCACGTTCAGTCTACCTATATCCTCAGATGTTGTCAGCATTGTGATGTTTGCTGATGCACATCTTTTGGAACATAACTCTTAGTTGAAGAAGATCATATACGTTGCTGGGCGATGGCGTGAATTTCCTGAGGTACAGCCAGCAGTACAAATCACACCTTGATTTAATTGACCACATCGCCGCTTACTATGGAGATCGCAGATGTCTTGCTTATGAAGCCATTAAATTGGTGTCCTATACAGTTGTGTTGCTCATTACTGCAATCGATTATGATTGCATGAAAAGCTATTGTCTATGACACGCTCACTTCGAACTGTTTTGCATGATTCTCATTCTTTTCAGACGTGTTGTATTCGCTCTCATAGCTATCACATGCGAATGTCGTTCTATTGATTTGTTTTTATCATTCACTTCGTCTCAATTTCACTTCACAGTTCAAATCAACTTCTCATTCTGTAGCATATACTCTTTATTGGATGCGTTGACGAGTGTTGACAGCTGAAATCAACAACACAGCAAGCGAACTGAATTGCTGAACAACATTCGATAGTTAAATGGTCAGTTATAGAGTGTATCTGATAGAATGAGAATTTGACATTAATTGTTGAGTGAAATGAATGAGAAATTAGCAGAAGAGAACACTTTTGGTGATAAAAGTTATGAGAGCGATTGCAATAGCAAGGAAAAGAATGAAAACCTTGTTAAAACAAATGAAAACCGTTTTAGGCCCTGACGAGCTAATGATACTCAGAAAATATGAGAATAAAGAGTTAAAGTTAACCGCAATTACATACCCGAGTTAAAAAACACCATCACAATTGCGTTTTATCGTAACATAACAATTGCACGAAATACTGATTTCCCGACCTCCTCCATCAACCCTTCACACCTCCAGGTTGCTCGAAATGGGTAATTTAATCCCCTATGAGAAACACTGCTCCATGGAAAAGTTGGCAGTAAGAGGAGCATTCAATGCACGTCAATTATGCAATTATGATAAACTCTGTGCATGCTCGAGATGTTCTTGTACTAACCATGATACTAGCCACCAAAGTGTTGTTGATCAATCGAAAATGGAACGACTCTTTGAGCAAGCAAATCCCTGTATTGATCACAACCACTAAATAATTTAATTTTATGCACGAATGAACACTTTCATATGATAATCAACATAGAACACTTATGGAATTCAATATACTACAACCACTAAATATGAATATGAATATAGTCATTTATATGTTAATATGGAGTGCCTTTCAAAAATTCGCAGGTGTACTTATATTAATGACGCAAACAAGACAAACTGAATGATGTTTCGTAACGAAATGATGATTACTCAAACAGTCACTACAAATTTCACTTGATGCTTAATAGAATAAAAATTATGTATGTTATTTGACTTATTATGTTATTATGTAGTATGTTATTATCATTGTTACTTACACATCGAGCGGTTGTTTTGTTGATCGCGGTTAGCGATCGGCGGAATGCTTATTTTGTAGACTTATGAATATTTATTGGATTGATATTTGGCTACGTTTAATTGTGCAAAGTATTCACGACAACTAATTAAATACTCGGTTGTGCTCACTTGGCCTGCTCGCCTAGCCAGCGGGGTGGCTACAATCAAGGCTAAAACAGTGCGAACGGAAACGCGAGCATTGTGGCCAGCAACGTTACAAACGTTTGATAGCCTGGCCAATCCAGGTAATCCAGGTAATTTGACTTATACTGATGACACGTTCGCCATACTCTAAAAATTGCCAGCAGAAACGATGAGTTGTCACATAAGTGCAAGTAGAAGCCTATGATAACAAGTTGCGATCGGTTCAGCAATCCATCGTTTCTAGTCCGCATCGAATGATTGGAACGCTTTAATCATTCGCTGCATTATTATACTGCCAATAATAATTGCTAATACAGTTATCAATGACGATGTAATTGTAACTCTGGCGATTGCAATATTATCACTATCAATATCTTTCGTGTCAGCAATGTGATCGAAACTGAACAGAATTCGACAAATCTCTAACGTTACCAAAATACTGTTCTGCTTGTCACAATAAGCTCGTAAAATGGCGTCAAGAGTGTGTATCGATAGGAGACAACAAATACGATATTCAGATAAAGTGCACACACATTCCGATAACATCACGACGAATCATTCAAATATTGACACATGCTTTATCACATGTACTGTTTGATTCGAGCAGTTATTCCGAGCACGTGGCTCAGCTATCAGTACTGATCATAGATACGATCAATTCCTTCCTTTCTTGACGTTCATTCACCGATAAAAGCCACGCTATTTCGCCAGTTTATTGCAGTACTCTTCGTCTCCATCCTGTCTTTAATTCAGTCTAATTAGTGCTGTGCGAGTCCAATCGAATCCTTACGAAAATAGCCATATGATACTGGCTATGCTATGCAAACAATAAGCGGCGCAAGCCACTGGCTTAAGCGGAAGCGAGACTGAAGCGGAATGGCGTGAAAGCTGAAAAAATGCTAAGCGAAATAAGAATCTAGCAATGTTTGAATAAAGCAATGAGCGCAATTATATAAGTGATTGTAAATATCAGCGTTCAATTTAAATGGATAGCAATTACGGTACAGAAAAGGGAGGTGGAATGGAATGGTCTCGAAGATGGTGACAAGACATCAAGCACAGTCTTGACAACGCTTTCTTTCAATTTCTAGAAAATGTATCTGAGATTGATTAATTCAGTTGATCAGTCAGACAATACGAACGTTTCGATCCTATCAAACATGCTGATACTGTAAATTCATCGAATACCTTCCATCTGCTTCTTGCTTTCTCCAACGTTTCTCTGTTCAATTTTCTCAAAAACCAGCTATAATATTCTTCTCCAACAATTAATTACTCTTGTCAAAGTCTTTTTCATTAATATCTTATTCAATCTTCTTAATACCCTCTCTATATATCACCATTTATGAAAAATTAACTAAGTTGACCGATCATGGCTTGAATAATCAATTATCTCATGTCTCTGCTGTTCAACCTTCTAAATTCAACTGAATTCGATATGTGTTTCGTTCGATTTCCGATGACTGTTAATCGTTGTGTGTGTGTGTAATCAACGTCACGTTTGAATGAAATGCTATCTAACTGAGACTTCCAAGCTCAGCATCGCTAATATTCTGCAAGAAACCGTTCCAGGAGGTCACCATCCGAATGGTTCCATCAAAAACAGTAACGTTCCATCTTCTGCTCATTCAGTTGTCGTTGAGGTGCAATTGATTGCGATCTTTGTTTTTTTCGCATGATCTCCGCAAAATAGTGGGAATAAATTTGATCTCAAAGTATGATCGTCGAATAAGAATGATGGAATTTCGAGTAGATCTGATAACCACGAATTGTGAACAGCATTCTGAATCGCTATCGTACTGCACTAATTTTAGATATTTCAGCGTACTTAAGCGTACTCTTCAAATCACATCCCGATTATTCACGAACAAGTAGCGATGAACTGTATTCTGATTGTTCATCCATTCCATTTCTCCAAATAATAGTTTGCATGGACACACACTCTCTCATTCGAAGTCATTCCTTTACCTAGTTCACTCCAAAACTCGTCCTCAATATATCAAAGTTATCTTATCAGGATGGCGATCACTTTACCGAGTTGTTCATCAAAGCTATTGTCGATGTTGAATGGAACCGATTCCTATGAGCTGTTGTCTGCTGTTGACGAATCAGTGACAGCAATGTGCGGAATACACGTACCGCAGGACTGCGATCCGGATGAGAAGATCGCTATCCTTATTCCATATAGGTGATGAGTGGTTCTTCATTTCAGTTACTACTCATTTTTGCTTGCAATTATTTAAATTTTAAATAGATCATTGCTAGCAAACGAAAATGGAACACTTCGAAAGCATTTGGTTGACGACTGAAAGACAATGCATTCTTCTGACATCAGTGTGAAGACGATCCATTTTTCTCAGTAAATATCGTCAATTCGGATTCAAAATTAGAATTCTTCCTCAGAATTGCTCATTTCGAAAGTACTGATAGGTTAAATAACTTGTTGTGTAAATTTCACTAACGTATTCAAAAGATCTGAAAAGAATATGCGAACTCTGCTCTGCTCAAGTGATCTTGATCAGAAAGAAAATTTCTACAATTTCAGAAACCGATATAGTCAACTACAAATTCTCCTCAGTTATTTGTTGGAATTTTTGAGTAAATTTCGAACGCGTTTCGCAATTTTCATCATAGAACCAACTGATGGACAGGTGAGTATACGTGCCCGTGCAGATATTTCAACTTCCATCGAACAACTTTGTTCGCAACCTCCATGCTCCAAAATATATCACCACTCAGACTCGCTTAAACGACACTGCTGATGACCTCTGAATGATCAAATCATCATTCAACCATCCCAGCAAAACACCTCATAAACAATTTGCACCTCTCCACTTACTAATGCGTATTTTTTTAGGTGTTCAATCGTGGTAAGCTCTTCAACATTGGCTATAATCTCGCGAATACCATTGAAGACTGGGACTGTTTCTTCTTTCATGATGTCGATCTATTGCCAACAAACAGACAGCTACCGTATAGATGCCCTCGAAACGGCACTGTTCAACACTGGAGTAGCGCTATCGATAAAGATGGCTTCAAGTAGATTTCCAATTCGTAGCTGATCGATCGCCTTCAAAAGATGAATTTCCAGTAGTCTGCGAATGTTTTATTATGATAATGAGATGTGCGCACGCGATTTATAATCAGACATTCTGCATAATTAATACATCTCCTTCCTTCATTATCCATCATACTATATGGCGTTGCTGGAAACGAAATCAGAGAATTTCCCATTTCGTGAACTGCTTTCGAAAAACACAAATGAAATTGTAATCAGGTTAGTTTCAGATTTTTAAGTGAATCATTCTCTTCAGATTGCCATATGGTGGATACATTGGTGGAGTAAGTGCGATGAACACTGAGGATTTTTTGATGATCAATGGTTATCCGAACGAATTCTGGGGTTGGGGCGGTGAGGACGACTGTTTCGGCTATCGGTTGGCGTTTACTCTTGGGGAATTGTTCTTGATACCTTTCTCATTTGCTTGGATCGTCGATGAGTCATCCTCAATGAGTAATGTCATTGATAAAGTTGTTCGTTGCGGTTTTGATGAAAAGGTCAATCGCTGCGATTAGTACTTAAAAGTGGAACGAAGTTCCCATTACTTCAACTCTCAACAACTCAGTGTTCAGCTTCCAGCTGAAGGTGATGATTTCGAACACGAGAATCATTGAAACGGACGTATTTAATAGAATTGTTGTTCGATATTGAGATGAAGCGTTAGACAGTACATCGTCATCGTTCAGTTGAATGCTTCTTTAGAGATCCAGGCCGTAGGCTAATCGTAAGCAGATATGCATTACAGCGTTCACGGTAGCAAACTCGAAGTTGTACGTGCTCCAAACAGTACATATACGATGTTGAGACATGGGAGCAATGAAAAAGGAAACGAAAAAAATCCGTTCGTTTTCAAGATTTTAGCTGATGTCGAAAAACAACTATGACTGATTTTCACCAATGATTGATCAGATATGATCATGCTGATAAGCTGCTGTAGAACTTTTCAAGATTCCTTGAAATTCTTTAGTTATAATCGACTCACTTTCGGGAATTTTAGTATGTGAAGTGAGATATTGCATGTACTGATACGGTCAGTCATTTGATTGATGAAGTTGATGCGTTCAGATGTCGGTATGGACTTCTGAATAAATGGCGTGAATTATGGAATCACGATGGTCTCAACTCACTGAAATACCGACTGATTTCATTTGATCTCTACAATCGATTCTATCACATACACGTCGATACTGAACCACCTTCAGATATTTGCGGAATTTTGAAAAGTTAGTTGCCTTAATCGAATGTCAACTAGCAGCTTTCGATTGGTTGCACTCGTTCTGGGATCAGACAAACTCCGAGAAATACATTCGATGATGAACGAATCTATCATCAGTTCATTTCGTGAATGAGTCGCTAATAGCAGAATGAGGAAATCCAACTTGCTGAGCGAAATTCTTTAGGTGTCAGGAATGGCTCTCCTAATAATGATATACTGATTGCTGATTTGACATTCACTCTGCTAAGTGCTGTAAAAACAATGAATTTAAAGAATGAATTTTGATCGGTACTATAGCTTCGTACAATATATTTGATCCATTCTCTAGACGGACTGCACACCAACCACTCGACAAGCAACCTAACCTCCACAGGAATGGCTTCAGTGCTCAACTTCACGATTGTCGACCACTGTAGTAGCTATGGTCAATTTCCGACAGTGACAACTGTATCGAATTTATCCAACGGTATGACAATTGGACATTTAAAAAACTCGATCATTTCGAAGGGTTCCATTGCACAATTCGAAGATCTTTGCACGGTTGTTCAATGTTATCATTTTGACGTTCACAGAAACAGTGACTAGAAAATTTATTCACTTCATTTCAAATGAACAACGATTTGGACTAATTCCGAAGCACCTTCCGATGAACACTTTCAGACAATTTTACCACATAATCGTGGCTGTTCCTTCACTCATTTGTAAAAATGTTTCATGGTAATAATAAGCGTAGTATTCATTAGTGAATTTCGTCCAGCAGAATTTCTTTTCATGCTGATATCAATTCATTAATTTAGGAACATTGATAATTCTGATGATGTTGGTCATGATCATTTCGTCCTTCACAGTGCATATTTTTGGCAAATTATTACGAATAAGTGGGATCAACGTTGGATGCACGTCGACACGAAACGTTTTGAACTGCATTAAACAACGATGCACGTGATTTGAGGAGACTTCAGTGGAATGAATGAATTTCGGTGCCTTTGAACAAAGTCACTTTTAGGAGGATATTGTTCGTTTTTTTGTGATGACACTTTTCTGTGATAATCTCTGTGATATGTTTATGCAGAAGGGATTTTGTTTTAGGAATTCATTTATTTTTTGGTGTGTAGATCGATGTTTTTCGATGATTGATTTATGATTTGAACGACAAACACAAACAAATATCACAACAGTGCAAATAATCACGGGACACGTCAACTGATGATCGACAGAACGATTGAATTTGACGCTGCTAAAAATTTTATAATTTTAACTTAACCTCACTTGTAAAATTTAAACAGCTTATTCGTAATATTCATTAAGATTCTCTAATAATGCATCTGAAAATCAACTGTCAATGATAAGGCTAAATAAACGTTTCATTACGAATCAAATCACAACCAATCGAATAAGCAGAGACGAAATATTAACAAATCAATCAGATCATTCCTTCAAGTGAACTAGGAGAGAGTCTTGAGCATACAACCCGTTTCAAAGCCAACATCGGATCAATCTGATGCGTGATGCGCGTTGGTGAACTTGTTCATAAAGCCGTTTGCTCTGTTCTTCGTCTGCTGACAGTGGCGTTTCACAGAATATGAATCGTTGCAGTGATTTCGACTCGATAACTGACCACACATCTTCAACTGTTGATATGTTCGTGCTGGCCACTGAGAGGAATTCCAAGTTCGGCAATATCTCGCAGATGTTCGATAAACTGAGATGATTATAATTTCATCTCATTATCACAAAAATAAAAAGCAAATCCCATCTCTCAATCATATCCCAATAACGCGATATCAACGAACGATTCAACATTCATTCATCGGTCTTTCACCGTTCGACGACGCTATCGAAAGCAAAAATGAAGGGCATAATTCCAAAAGTATCAAAGGAGATGAATGAAAAAAAGAAAAGAAAAGAAGGTAAAAAGTGACCTTCGAATGGGATTTTCATTCAGTGTGAGATGTGTTAAACGAGGGAATATCGCAAATGCGTGAACATCTTCGATTAAATTATTCGACAAATCAATTGTGTTTATAAAAGGCGATAGCATTTGTAACTGCGTCAAACTGAAATTTAAAATAATTTCATCAATCAATTTTGTTTCTCGAAATCGAATCGAATTTAATGTCCAAAAACTCCACTGAATAATAATAATAATGCATGCTCCAAAGCTGACGTTCCAAAATAAAAATCACAACTCAGCCGAGGGTTCCCCTAAAACCAATGAAACTTATTTCGCCCACTTGGCTCACCACAAAGAAGATATTTCGGGAAAATAGTTTTACTCCCATTCAAAAAAGGGGAAAGACAACGTAAAATGAATATCGACAGCAATGCAACAAACCTATGAAGTTGCATATTCCTCAAGCACAACTCAGCACCTTTCTGATTCGATCGAATAATATAATCCAGATTCGTCTCGTCTCGTTCTTCGCCCTCACTCTTGTTCACCGTTCTCAGATACGATAGCAACCGATACTTGTCAATCAAGTCCCAATACATTGCCCTTCGTTCCGTATCGAGTTCATTTGCTAATCGCTCTAAATTTTTCAATATCTCTCGATGATTTCGCACCACATCCAACTCGATCAAACAACGCGTCAATGTAAATAATGGTCTCTGGAATGAACAAATAAATTTTAAAAAACCGAATAAATAAATGAGTCAGTGAATGGGACTGTCGATTCATAATATCTTGTCAAACCATTATCGTTATTAGAGCGTTGTCATCTGGAATGCTCCAACAAATCCTATCACTGTTTTACAAAGTTTCCTCTTAAAATCAGATAAGTTCAAGAAATCAACAAGCAACTTACCTTAACCAAATGTAACTGATTATTAACATCGAGCGATAATTCCTCAATCAATGCGTTACAGTTCTCAATCACACCGTTCAGCGCACTCTGTCTGGCTGTTGATAGATCTTTTTCGGTGATATTGAAATGTTTATGCAAATAATTCATATCCACAAAACCCTCTTCTGGTTCTATCTCGTCAAGTACCAAACCCGCACTAGATTTCAATATTGCCTGTCCTAATCCTTCGTTGCAGGTGATCATAAAAACCCGTGCATACTTAGTCATCGGATATACAGACACCTGAAAGATTCCTAAGTCAGTTGTTCTTGATGAATGAAAATATAAAATGCCAAGTGGAAGTTCGTTAATGATGTGAGTGCGTTAGGCCTGAAATAAATTACTGACTGAAATGAAAGAATTCATCTTTGAAACATACGAACGTAGACTTGAGAGAAATTCAGAAATTACTCGATGAACAAATTACTAATCTCTACTTATACACGACACTTACTGGCTTATAATTGATACTGGAATGTTCAATTGAAGGGAATGTGATGAAGTGGTGCACATCTTCAACAGATACGGCATTACTGAACAGTACGATCGCATTATGACCGTCAGCATAAAATGTTATACTGATCACTTGCGTATTGCTTTCATCTGAACAGAAACACCATGAAATGGCCCTTTCAGGAAGCTTATCAGCTTATCAGTGATTTCAGTTCATATATTTACTGAGCAACTGCGAGGAATCGTAGAGCACGAAAAAGAATACAAATGGTAAATTAAGCCACCTATTGCGCTATGAGGATCCATTGCAATCAACCATTCCGTATACTTCCACGCACTCTGATCTTCTGGATCGGTAAAATAAGCATTTGCAAGCTTCTGCAAAACGACTAGATGAATACCACGAACAAGAAAGGTAACAAGAGGCTAAAACAGCAACAAATCAGAAATGATTCTTCATCGAATATGTGATCGTCACAAGAATGCATACCTTCAATTCGCGTTCTATTGTTCCCTCCTCTAAAATGACATCCGAATCAGACGGTGAAACTGAAGGTAACAACGTGGAGCGATAATGCCAAGCCGAATAATTGCTGAAGTTTGCGTTTATCATTTGATCGGTGAATCTGAAATTAAAATTAACGACATATTTCACCGAGGAAACCAATTCAATGTACGGAACAGATCTAGTTGCTGTGAGAAATGAACCCCATCAAATTCAAAACATCGAATTTCTTTGCATTCCAAATTTGAAACGTACTTCAACTCTTGCTCAGGTGTTATTCCAGCAAGTTGAATAACGAAACGACGATGGTCCCAACAATGAAAATTTCGAGAATCATACTGCAGTGCCTTATCAATCATTTTCAACTCGGATTCAATGTTACAATTGGTCATTCGCTTCAGTGCCCATGCACGATGGAACCATGCACTGTACGATTTTGGATTCTCCTGAAACAAAACATAGTTTTTGCTGTTTCTCGGCAAAATTTCAATTTCCTAGCAAGAGATCAAGATGAGGGGCGAATATCTGTTGAAAAGAGACTTCAACTATGAGCAGCATTAACCTTGAGGCATTCTTCAGTAAGAAACATCTCTCCGGACAGCATCAAATCGTTACGTTTAATCACATTCTCAACATTCTCATTTTCGTCTCGCTGAAATTACAAAAAAAATCATACACCATGAGATAAGAATCCTGACAAAAAAATTACACGTTTTAAACATCTGAATAAATAACCTTTGCCATTAGAGCAGAAATTGTCGCTCGACGAACATTCCAAAACGTATACACATCTGGATTCTTGACCAGAATTTTCGACGTTAACTCAAGAATTTCACTGTTGAGCTCACCTGAAATCGATAAATGAAAGATTCAACTGCGTTACCGTACGAATACCGTTCAGTCAAAATTGTGACGAGCTTCAGATTAAGTCAGAAAAAGCATTCACGTTACCTTTTTCGCGTTTCTCGAAAACCCGATCTCTAATCGTACAATACGCACGCAGTTTTGACTGTCTTGCTTTCTGTCGTGCTTCATTCTCCTCTTCTGTTGTTGGTACCTTCTTCACAAAATGCATACTCGATTCGACTCCTGAAATGCAAAAATAATAACTAAATTTGGTTGCCGGATAACCTGACAAACAAGATATCAATGGAAAGACATGAATTTCCACATTCATCATAATGAATATCAATGAGAATTCATGCATAGAACAGCACACAACTGAATAAACGAAATAAACAACGACACGCTTCAGGAAATAATTGATAAACCAACATTGGAACAATTAATTGTAAATTATTTCAGCATTGAAATTTCTCCGCGAATAATTCTTCTTATTTTGCCCAAGGAAAGTACGCAAAAGCATTAGAGTGACAAAGACGCAGAGCAAGCATGCATGCTCGCATACTGAGCACAGTAAGGAGATAGGAGTTGAGATTACGGTATTCCGTTGTGGATTACTGTAACAACTCTCAGTAGAGCAAACGAAAGTAAGCAGTTTGTTGCGCTTGAGGTGCTCGATGAAACTAAAGCTTCAATTTGAATAGTTCAGAGAATTATTGGTCAGAAATGGTGAAATACTATGAGCTGATCGGGAATAGTGAAGCGTATGATTATGATATTAGGTCATCGCGAAATCCTAACTGATCAAGTGGGTGAAGGTGAACGTCTTTGAGGGCTTAAAAAGCTCTGTCGGAGTGGTTCTCATCCTCAAAGGTTTATGGAACAATCTTCTGAGGTCATCTCTGCAAAACATCAGCGCTTGTCTAAACTATTGGCATGAGAAGAGCTTTTTAAGATCCCCATTTGGGAGCAGTAAATTTCAACAGCATGACTTTATCTCTTTCCAAGCATGCCATTCAGTCTCCAGGTCTTTTGTTCAGTAATAGCAGTCCAGCATTATGATATTCTCAGTCTACTGAAACTCAGCGTCCTCAAATGAGCCTACATAATCCATTGATCATGACTAAACTCGCTCAGTTGGGGGGCAACGCTACTTTGTAGAATTCGTGAATAAGAATAATTTCGCAGTCATCATTAAGTTAGCAGCACGCATGTTTACTACTTCATTCAGAGACTAGGATAAAGGATTGAATTGATCTTTAACGAGAGCATCACAAAAATCAGTGCTAAACGTGTCATCGAACCAAACAGTTTTAAATACGTACCTATGAACAACGAAGTTGGCACAGCAACTGGCCCAGTTCTCGGTTTAGATTATTCAAGTAGAATGGTGATTTGAGTGTGCTCATCGGATGTACGAAACGAAAATAATTCATAGTGTAAAGATTATAATGAAGTCTGATTCTTGACTGAATATTTCTTCTCGGATTGTTCATCAACAAAGTGAACGCAAACAAATGAAGACGTTGATTTTACCTGCGACTTACCATTTACTTCAGTTTTGCTTTACATTACAATGAGAACAATTGAGGCATCAACTAAATGAAATATGATACAGTTTCCCATTATGAGATATGAATACTATGTTGAGATTCGTTACTTCTGTTATTGTTAATGGAGCTATCTTCATTTCAACAACATTACCGTCCATCCTCTGTTCAGTGACAGTTTTTAGCTGAATGTTCGCTCTTTAGCCGAACAATATCTAAAGCCAGCGGTACATTAGGCGTTCAAAATTCATTGACATCTCACCACTTGAAAGGATTCAATCTATTAGATAATACAGTGAAATACCTTCAGGTATATTCATTGTTATTGATGAAGGTGTTATCATAATCGCAATCAGTTTCAGTCTTCATCACCCCAAGCAATATGATGACCTCAACAGATGAAGATTCTAAGTTGGAGTTTTCTCCTGAAACATCTGAAGTAAGTAGGAATCATCGCTCGTCATACCCTGTTACTGCAGCTTCGTCAACAGGTACGGATTACTCCTAATCGTTTGTGTCTTATGCCACAGGCAATAGTGCTGACCCCAACTGATCAGTAGTTATGCTCACCTTATCAATGTTTATAGTTTTAGGATGTACCGTCGAACATTCAGTTGAAAAGCATCGCAGAGTGAGCGTTGTGCCGATCGGAGGTGCATGGCGTTGTGCAACAAATGAAAATATGACGGCCAGGAGAATGAATACAATCAGCTCAGTTAGCGGTTAGAGTTATCCAATGGCTAAATGCGAGATCAATGCCTCCGATTTTGAGATCAACAAACAACTGACTAAGTTAAAATTGAAAAAAATTGACAAGCTTTTTAATCTGCCAAATTTCATATGACCAATCAGGTAAACGAAACGGTGAGGATGAAAATAATGTTCGCTTATAAAAGAGAGTGATCAGTCGTAATCAGTGATCAAGTCGGTATAGGGATGATTCTGATCAGTGTGAAAATACACTCGCATGACTGTTACTGAGGCAATCAGAAGCATAATGTTGGATCTGATGGGATTTCAGGTGAACGTCGGCCATCTTCGACTACAGTCGAGGCTTTTCCTCAGCTCGGCTGCACTATCACCGATCGACGTCGGATTTGCAAAATCGCACTGATAGCGCTTGCGTCGAGTTTAGTTGTACTCGTAATTCTTGTGATGATCATAGTTCGATTTGCTCTACATTCGCCATGATTTGAATCTGTCGACAGGTTCCGAAATAAAATTACTTTCTTACGAAAATCGCCAATAAATCTCAATTGAACACTCGCAAGATCTGGTCAAGTCTGAGCAATAATATTGTTGAAAAGGTTGATTTATAATGATTTATTTGGTTGCGTGTGTTTGTCACGGAGCGATGAGTGTTCGACACGCATCACTCGATGACCAACGCTCACAAGCAAATCATTGTAAAGTCAATGTTTTCAGATTATAGAGTGCTTGTTGCGTTATCTGATATGAGTTGTTGCATGATCACAAATATGATGAAACTGGATACGAAATATGAAATATAACGAATATGATTATCTATAATTTCTGATCGAATGTATAATAACCATAACAGAGTTACAGCTAGGTGTTTGTTCTTCGATAGCAAATCAGATATCTATGGAATATTATTAATGTACTAATGTTTTGTGAATGAATTGTTTGTATGCATATTGCATTCAGTTGTGTGCATATTCAACCCTTCCAATATGAATATTACGATTATTCAAACAACACACGGTAAATTACTCCATGATTTTCTTCATTGAACAGAGTTATTCCGTTTCGCAGCTTTCACGTTGACATTGCGCATAATGCTTGTTTGTGTATTATTTGTTTTCACTGAACGTAACAACGCACAGAACACAGGTATAAAATGAAGTCACATTAGTGGTACTTTCGTGTTGACAGCTTATCAGAATAAATGTAAACATACATTCCTAAACAAACTTAACATGATGCTTATTCAATGATCTAACCTACAACACATGCACGTTGACATTCACTCTCATTTATTTCGTTTCGTTTTGCTCATTACTGCAGTCGTTCAATGATTCAAGTAGTCTCCTAATGACCTGATGGTAATTTTATCAGAAATTATTCCATTGCATTTGAGTTTTAGATTTTGAATGAGCGTAATAGTTTGCTCACTTGTGGTCATTGTCTATACATGCGAACTGCATAAGAGCAAGAAAATAACTTGAGTTCGTTTCACTGATTCAGTTGAGTCTCCTTACGATTAGTTTTCCGGATTCATTAAAACATTTGCTATATGATACATGATGTTTGATCTGTACCAGTGAATCGCAATGACTGCACAGTTATTTGTGCCTATTTCATTGGTGCAATGAATCGCTTTCCATTTCGACACGATTTCGGAGTTCTTAACGAATGCAAACCACTTTGAGGATTTGAAAAAAAATATATATCCTTGCTTAATCATGAATTTCATTAACAGTTTACTGGAGCCTTGCATTGTTTCGTAAGTGCGGAGTGGTGGTGTTATGAAGTCATGCTTCGATAATTACAAGCTTCATTATAAGGAATATTTCGATGACCATTCATCGCATCACGCAAAATGTTTCCACATCGAGAAATGTCTTCATGACAAGCGCAATAATAACGATTACCAAATCAATCATGCTGACAACATTCACTGTCAGCAGTTACACTGATGTTAAAGTGATTTATGCTGGTGGCTACTCGTTGCTTTTGCCAATGCAGCAAATGCTATTCACCACTTAAAATCACTGAATGAAATTTGATACTTTTTCTAATAATGTCAATACAGCCAAGAGTGCTGCTTGCTAGCCAACAGCATCACTGCTCTATGCACACTAATGAAAATTCGAACGACGATTCCAATTGCAAGCAGTATAATGAGACAATAAAATGAATAGTTTAGAACGATGCAGCAAACCATTCGAATGCTAAACGCCTTTCTGATTATTGCATTCAGATTGAGGATTTATTTGTTCGGTGTACTAAATTTTCAATTGTGTTTATGTTCGTTCCGTTTCGCTTACGTCCAACTACTATTATATCTCCTTCCAACAACCACTATGTGCACATCGATCGTCTATTTAATCAGTGGCCCCTAATGCTTGCTTTTCTTCATTTTTATTTTTAACGTCCAAAGGGCCAATTTGCACTCTTCTTAATGCGCATTTTATTGTTTTGCTATTAACATGCTCATCATCAGGCAAGTCGTTTGCATTCTCATTGATTTCGCTGCCTTATAAGTCATCTGCATTCACTTGCAATTTGAACAATGCTCATCTGCTGACACTGACAACGTGCAAAACGAGTGATCAAGGCTTAGAAATGCGTGATTCCTTATTGCGATCAAGCATGACGAAGCTAGCTGATCTCGAAATGGAACAGTTGATCGCAGCGAAATCCATGTCTTCCGATAGTGTGCAACCACATCCCCTATGCATCTCCAGCATTGACGATCATCATTTGGTGATTGAAAACGCTGATCGCAGGGGAAATATTCATTATCAGAAGTTTTCGCGGGGCTGTGCGGAATAGCCCCAGAATAGATGAGCGAAGAGAGTATTTCATTTGATGTTACTTCAGGAATATGTTCAACATGATTGATGAACTGTTGAGTTTATGATTTCAGTCGTTCGTTCACGCAAAATGATTTATTTGCATGCGACGAGAACGAGGAGGTTATTTGGTGACTCAATAGGGAAAGCCGTCGGATTCTAAAGAATGCTCTGCTGAATAAGTGATTAATCACATTTGTTAGCGCATTCATTGTTTGTGTTGATTGATTGCGAAAGAATTTGTTCGTTGATATTGCAGAGAGTTGAAATCAATGAAATTAGTTGCTTGCGTAATCTCATTTAAGGCATCACATCACATCAGTGAGACCAAAAAATTGCTTTTGTTTTGCTCTCATTAGTGAACATTTATTATTGGTGTTGCTTAGCGACAATCTGCAAGTCTATTAAAAGCAAAAAATACAAAGAAGACATACGATACGATAAGTATTTACATTATCATCGCCCTCCTCAGCACCACTGCATATCCGTCACTGCTTGCACTTAAATCCCTGAATCGTCGCTTCCGTTAGTCTCATTTCAATCTGCGATCACAACCCACTGCAAGCCAGCAGAGCCTTTACTACTGAATACTATTTCTGTCACATTTTCGTTTTTTTTTNTTTTTTTTTCATTTCTCCTCAATCGAATGCACTCGAAATTCAAGCAAAATTCATCTCTGGAATATGGAATTCATTGTTTGTTTACTGATTCCGCTGTTGAATCGTTAATTATTTGTTTGAATCATCAAATCATTGCAATTGGCTAATCTGTCTGCATTGAAAGCATTTCAACGGTGTTTGTTTTGAAGAGCCGTGATGAAGAAGAATTCATTAACTCTGAAGTTCATCGTATTATGCCGATCACCAGCTATTATAGCTGCATTTCACAACCATTTACGTCATCACACATTCATTTTTGGAAGATTTTCTCTTACATAAACGAATATTAACTGAACCTTATCTGATAATGAATTTGGCTCAGAAATGAATATGGCTCATCGCTGATCATTACATCATGCAGTACTATGAAATGCTCTTTTAAACTCGCTGTCAGATGTGCGTTTCCAACACAACCATTATCATGCAAGCGAATGAAGTAGATCTTACGCGAAATCGATCTGAAACAGTAGATATGAAAGGACGTAAGCGTTGAGTGGAGACAGTGCTTGTTCGAGTGTTAACGATCCTTGCATGAATTTACCACGTGAAACATGAAAATTTGCCACATGAAAATTGCCACTTCATTTGTTTGTATTTTTTGGAGCAGGCAGCACTAAGCAACCTTGACTGAGTCCTAGCAATGCAGATTGCTTCGAATGAGCATCACTCACTCAATCATCCCTCACTGTGTCGAAAGCTCGTCTTCTCGTTAGATCACAAAGATCACTTAGCACAAAATCGCGTTTGACATACTGCCGCCTTCTTTGTTCAACAGCTGCGATTCGCTACTCAAAAATTGACGATAGGCAATATTTGCAAAATTGCTGATTAATGTCAATTTTGACAACAAAATGTCCAAATGTCCAAGGGCCAATGCTATGTCAAAGTTTATCTGTTACAATTCAAAAACTGTAAAATCTGAAGGTGACGAAGGGATGTGGAAATTCAGGCAAAAAATCGTTTATGTAACGATAAGCAATTGAATTGTATTGTCAACATGCTGTGTTCTTTGTTTTTTGAGTGAAACGCTGATGATCGGAATGCGGATGTATCGAATTTCATTGCGCTGAAAGAGTTATCCTTCTGTAGTCACAGTTCGCATCAACGTTTACCGATCTCTCGCCCTTTCCTCAAATATTCATTTCGGAACAAAAATGTTAATTGAATTTTATTGACATTAATTTCGTTCAACATTGCTCACAGAATATCGTCAATTCTTCGATTGGCTTCGGTCGAAAACAAAAACAAAACAAATTAATCCGCTCAAATTCAATTAACAACGCAAGCGACATATGAGCATCCATCCAATAGAGTGTTTCTGACAGCGATTTGTTCTGCTCAAAATGTCCAGAAATGCTCAAAAGCGTTCACCACCATCGTTGCACTTGTCAATATGATCATCACTAAACGCACCAATAAATCGCACTAATCGGCCATCTTCGCCGCTATTGCATAAAAACTTAATCGAAAGTATTCGCTGCTGAAATAGCAACCTTACCAACCAACAACACCATACGATAAGCACTTCATCATCAGCGAGAATAAATGAATATATAAACAAATTTATGATAAGCACCCATGTGACGCACAAACGAATACGAAATATGCATCGAGAAAGCGATGCTAATGAATTCGCCGAGCTATTTCATTCAAAATGCGATTTGCTTCACGATCCACATTATTAATATCGCATTCGGCATTATTATTATTATTTTATTATTATTATTATTATTATTACTGTTATTATTATTATTATTATTATTTTATTATTTTTTTAATATCACCGGTATTACCATTCTTGATGAATTTCGCCAATAGATCACTGGATAAGCACGGAGAAGACGGGGAGCTTCAGGAATGCAATATCGACGAGTGTTATCGTTGTGGAACACAATCAGCTGTGAATAAATTATGTATTATGGTTTTCATTATTATTGCAGATTTCATCGTTGCACATTGGAAAGGGTCGTGCGAAAGCTAGCCACTGAAAAAAGGAATACTTTTTTGTATTCATTCATTCATTCATTCATCGGATCGTTTCAAAATTTATATTGCTTCTCTTGCAGTCGCTGTGATGATAGTTCACGGCTTGATGTACTATTGGACCACCGTGCCTTTTCAGTTAGACAGACAGCTAACGGCTGCTTCATCAGTTCTCGAATAATGTCCTCTTGAACCGATTCAACCGAAAAAAAATCTGTCATCGCTTTGAGATTGAGACTTTGAGAAGATTTGAGTGATAAAATTCATTGATAGTATACTTTTTCACATATCAATCATCGCAGTAGTCTAGTGTCTGCTCGAGCTGTTGCCTTGCAATGACACCTTTGCACTGCTCATCCATAGATGCAATAATACATATATCTCAAAACATTTTTCATATCCGAGAATATTTTGTTCGGCAATATATAATAAGATGTTATTATTGCGTTATTGCATGTGTTCCTTTCATGAAGCATCACTTGCAATATGTTGTTATTTCATAAACATTTCTTTTCGAAGATATCTTCTCACGTTCACTCATTCACAGATGGATCTCGTAGCGATTCGATGCGGTGTGAATCTTCGAGATTCATTTATCTGGTTGAGATGAATCTTTATCGGATGGTGCACGCTTATCTATCCAACGAAGAACTTTTGTCTAACTGCGATCAGTGATTATGCTGAAAGCATTCATTCGATATGCTCCTCGTCTTTATTGCCTTGCTCATCACCGTCGGTGTGCTTCATGATTTGATCATGCGAAAAAGTTGTCATGAAGATGCTTTTTCTTATCTATTAATTGTCAGTCACATCATCATTTTTATCAGCTTGAAAAATTGTAAATATTTGTTTTTTTTTCTGCGTGTTCGTTTCATTTTTCTGCATTCGTTCAGTTCAGTTGATCACTCAACCGAATTCAAGTGCTCATCATTGATTTTTGCAAACATTTCCTTGAGATTCCATTGGATCTATGAATCAATTCTCCAATAGTTGTGCAAATATGACTAGATCACACAAGAAGGACATGGATGAAAGAGATTCAGTTCCTTCAACGGAATTGCTTCCGTGAATATCGCTCGCCAACTTTGATCGATACATTAATGTTACCGATAACGAATGCGTTTGAATCGTTGAAATTTGTTTTTCAGCTCTAACTGTTGTTTATTCAGCCTTTCAGTCTGTTTATGCTACACTGGAATATCTACCATAAGGACAGCATATGAATTCATGAGATGGAATGTCATTGTTTGTAAATATTGCTGTTCTGTGTTAATTCACTATTCAACGGAGAGCGCATACAGTTTGACGCAGATTTGCTTATGATAGGTAGGTGTGAAGAGCTCGTTTCGGAAGTTATTATTATTCACACATTCGCTTATTATCAATTCTGTGAATACAATTGTAACTCTAACTCGTCACCGTTATCGTTCCGAATGAACATCATTCGATGATTGTTAGTGAAAAAATATAATTTCTATCACTGATAGTGATGGAACCCATTCTTTTTATCTTTAACGACACTATGCTCAGTGATAACGCAAACCAGCAATATTTTATAGTGCCACTGTTATTGTCACGATCCATCTTATTATTCAATTCACATTATCATATCATTAATAAGAATATGCCAACCATAATGTTCACTCGATAACAAGGAACGACTCACTTTACAAGTGCTTTTTTTCGACAATGATCACGGATCGTTCAGTACCTCTTTTTTTGGGTTCAGATAGATTAATTATTCATTCCTCAGATGTTTTTTGTTCTTTCAATTCTTGCGGTCAAATTAAGAAAGAGACCGAGCTTAATGAGACGGGAGCGGTATAAACAATATTAATTCGCCTATGGAGTGCCAAAGGAATGCTCATTGAGTGATCTATTTTTGATCTGCTGAACAATTGTTTTTTTAAACAAATAATTTGAATAAATAATTTCTTACGATTAGCGACAATAACTGAAAGTGACTAAACAAATCACTCGAAATCATCGCTGTGTAACAGTGAGAAATTTGATACATAAATGTGTGTGAAGTTCAAAATTACACTGAAATATGATTTTATCTCTCTGGTTTCTTGGAAACTTCTAAGATTGTTCGAAAGAGAAGTTCGTATGAAATTGCTCAGTGAGTTTTTGTATGTATTCAGTTGGCGGCGAAATATCGAAAATGATGAACAGTGCGAAAATGTGGGCTAGAATCAATCGATTTGGTTTCAGTTGTTGGCATCAAATGATTCAATTCCGATCATTGAACACCCGAAAGCCAGTCACATAAGCTTCTTTTCGTATTAGAACAATTGATAAATCTCATGAACGAAACGAATTTTCACCCATTTCATAGTTATAGGCCACTCGGTTCCAGTGATATGACTCGACTACCACTGGTTTCTTTCACTAGACGTAAACTGAAAGTGATGCTACTCGTACTTGTGACAGTTGTGGTGATCAATTACATGATCAAGGTGATATACATTCGTTATGCTTGATCATTGAGTATTGATTGATCGAGATATACATAGGCATGCTTGATTCAGTGTAAATATCCTAGTGCTGAAAGTTATGATTAAGTATTTTCGAATGAGATAACATTTCTCAGGCGCTTCGCTTTCGGTGCATTTATTGGATATCATCACTCATTTACACATGATGGTTCCTTGAAAGATTCTAGTGATTCCGGACCTGTCTTCAGTTTTGAAATTATATGACGCACTAAGTTTATCGTAACATTAAATTGCGAAAATGAAAAGGTGAAACCAAAGTTATTAGCTAGGAGTAATTGATAATTTCATGCTGATAAAGAACCAATCATAATTCAATTGATCCAATCAATCAGCGGTTTAAATTTACAGTTTTATGAAACGTCAGACAACGATCGACCCTCAAAATCCCGATATATAGTGGCAAACAATCATTTACTTGCCAATGAAGGTAGAGTAATTGATCGATTTGATCAGCCAATCCGAGACATTCTCAATGGCGGTGATGCGGACGATGATAACAGACGAGCGACGTGCACCCAAAAATATCCACAAGAAGCCGTCACTGATTTTAATGTATGTCATGAAATCAACGGTTGAGATGCTCAACTTAATCATGCCAAAACCATGCACGGCTTCATTCATTTGAGAACATAATTTAATCAGCTATGAGGATATGATATCGTACAATATCTCAGACTATCAATCGTTTCAAACACTTCAAAAAGCTGATCATTAATTCCGCATTCCTCGGCGAGTTGTTTGCTATTGAAAGTGTAGCGAGTGATTTGCGATGTAATTTGACTCGCTTTATTTCACCTTTCAACGAGACTTATCAATAGTTCATAGTCTGCTCAGTTTCGCATATGCAAAAACTTATCCAATCCCAATCACTAGCCATTCTTCTCTCCAAGCAACAATGCCTTCTTTAAAGACATTTGATCTATACAATGGCGGCAGGAAACGGCAAGATATTGTTGTTACTGCAAAGAGGCGAAATAAGACGGGCACCGCAAGTAACAAGCTGAATGTTTTCGTCCTTCCGATGACTCACGTTGATCCGGGTAAGTTATGATCCTTACTCACATATTCCATAAATTCTTTCGTATCGTAACACATCCACTAATCACTTCGCACTGTGATTGAAAATATTTGCTATCATGTATATGGCTGAGATTTTTTGCTGACGAATAATCAACGATATGCGGAATGTGTTCGATTCTGATTCCACCTTCATTCTTCAATTAGATTCCATTTTGCAAGTGCACTGAAGTTGAGTGGCAATAGTGGTCGGTCTCTAGGATACTCTCCACAGTCATCATATTGATCGACTGATGTTCACCAAGGACTCAAATGCGGAAACGTAAAATTTAAAATCACAAAAAAAANAAAAAAAACGAATTCAGGTTGGTTGGAGACGTTCGACGCATATTCCAAAGATACGAATCAAATTTTGGATAATATGCTGAAATTCTTGCGTAGCCATCCAGAAATGCGATTTATGTGGTGTGAAATGGTGTTTTTCGAACGCTGGTGGCAGAGTTTGAATTCCACAATGAAAGGCGAAGTGAAACAGTAAGAGCAATGATACCATTTCATAAAGTTGAAGTAATGTTGAGAGTAATAAGTAATTACATTATTATAATATCCATCCAACTGCTGTTTTTATCACTAACAAAATATCACTAACAAAACTGTATTCTTAATTAATCCAATGAATTTCTTCACATTATCACTTCCGTTTCTCTTTTGCTTCAACTTCGATATGCCATGCATGATCTCTCGATCAAAACACGTGTTTCTTAAGAAAGAACCTAAACCGACCAAAATCATTCCACTGAGGATCATTAAAGGAACCAAATTTCAAGATTCGTAAAATCTGGACAGTTGGAGATGACGAGTGGCTCGTGGGTAATGACCGATGAAGCGAGTCCATTTTTTCCGGTTACAATCGACAATATTGTTGAAGGGCAACAGTTCCTATATGACCAATTAGGTTTATCTTCCATTGTTTTGAGCAATCACCGAGCTAAATCTTCCATTCCATCTCATCATATAATCAAAAATTCATATTTCTATCATACCACTTGAATTGTTGATCTATGCAATAGCCTCAAACCTAACAGTTCATTGTACAAATAGAATCAACAGAACACTAATGCTGATTCCGCCATCCACTAAGCTTTGATGCAAAAAATTTCTCAGAGAAAAACTATTTGAATTTGAATCTATTTCCCAAGAACGTTGAAACATTTCAGGAATTAAAGCGAAAACAATTTGGTCGAATGATCCGTTTGGATATGGCAGTACAGTACCGTATCTTTTCACGAAAACCGGCATTCGATGGGCCGTTATCAATCGAATTCATCATCCCACGAAAAACTACCTGCAACATCTACGTGCAGCGCCGTTCAAATGGCGACAATATTTTGGTGTGTTTCTGAGAGAAAATTCATTTGTTAAGCAAAAATCGAAAACGAAAGATCTCTTTTTTTTGTCAGTCTGAGGCATCCATGTTGACATAGTGAATCCACAATGAACCTACGATACCTCCCAGAATATCTTAACAATTATGTGAGTGGCGCAAAAACCTGAATTCTCAATCACTGTCTATCAATTCAAATATCGGCTGAAATAAGCCGCCATTATGCCGGGCATTCACCGTGATTTTCAAATAGATCAGTTCCTAATTCCTCGTTGTCTTATGCGAATTTCCAGTTCAATCGCACCAATTTTCCATAAACAAGAGGTCACAACAAATACTGTTCCACGTCACGAATTCCTTTCCAATACAATGTTTTATGCAGCATCTTCAACGAGGTTTTTGTTCCGCATTGGAGACGAAACATTTGGAATGAACACTTTTCAGATAGTGGTCAAAGTGATGTTCTAACTCATCTTCTCCCGTTCACACACTATGATATCTTGAATAGTTGTGGACCATCGCAAAGCACATGCTGTCAATTTGACTTCAAGCGACTCACACACTTCTCGTGTCCAGACCAAAAACCTGTGCCAATTACACCACAAAACGTCCATGAAAAGTTTGCTTTGAAATGAAACAATTCATTAATCGCATCTAGTTATCGGAAATTCATTCATTGACACCTGCTTCACAGATCATAGTCGAAATGCACAGATCTGCAGGTCAATAATATTTTGACTCGATTTGAGTGCTGATCAAAATTCTCTATCGGCTAATCCTATGCTATATTCTATCCGAGACAAAATTTACTCTCGGAATGTGTTAGATCTCTCTCCATAGATAGCTTCACGCATTCGAATACATTCATAAGTTCTTGTAACTTCACAATAATGATAAAATATCATCTGCTTAAGATTGAATTCTTCCTTCTCAATGTTTTACTCGGACTAAATATGAAAAA